ACCCCATCGAAAAATTTAGTCCACCTGAAACGTGTGGGTCTTGTGTACTATGTAATTGTGAAGTTGCTTGTTTTTTTTTGCTTATTTTCTCGACGTGCACACATCCTTCAACATGGTATTGTATCGTTGTGCTTTTTAAGACGCGTGATTACTAAATTATGTTGGGGTTCTTCTGCTTTGAATTAAAAATCCACTAGAAACGAGACAGAAAGTTTTGACAAGTGCTTGCGGATTTATCTCGAAGGCACACGGATAAACCAGTCTTTGCGGAGAAACCAGGGATAGCTGTTTCATCCTTGCTTGTAATCACCTGCCGTGCGCACCCGACAAAGTTCAGAGATCTTCAAACCTACAACCGTCTGGCGATTGACGGAACACAACTATTTGGCCATGGGCAGCTAATGATTAATACTCAGTGGAACGGGATACAGCGCAATTTATCGCTCAGTAACGGAAAACATATCGCGTAGCTACTCCATGACTATACCTCAAGCGGGGATAATAACATCGCACATTACATGTTAGGAGATGAAGCAGAGTCGCTTTTCCTTTCCTCTTTTGCTAATATGTTTAGATTATCGTGATATTTAGCAGTGGAAAACAACCGATAATTTGTTCAGAGTGAAAATATGAATCAGTACACCAACAGATCTGTCGATTAAAGTTAAGCAAAATCCACTTACCCTGAAAAGCTTTTATTTTGAAGACAAAAAAAGGCAATTTGTTCATCCCATAGAGTTGGGCAAAGTGTTCGAGAACCTTGAATAAAAAATAAAATAATTCGATTTTCCCATTTAATAGATTAATATGTGACAATCTGCAGTAGGAAGCACTATGCGGCATGGTAAAGTCTACCCAGAATAATGAGCACTAGAGTTCACGCCAATTGATGGAAACCATCGTTGTCATCATTGACACGGGCGATGGACAGTTTTTCCTCCTCAACGAATAGAATTCCGTCAGCCCCCTGCAACAGGGTCTTATATCACGTGACAGCTGGCCCTCGATTTGAGAGTTCATTTATGAGAAACCGGGTCAGTCGAAAAATTCTTGACTTTCCTAAACAAGTTGTTCATTTCTTCATGTAAAAACATTTACATCTTTAAAAGGAATTTTTAACCGTGAAACATTCAAACGCTCTGCAGGTTTTCACATTTTTAAGCACATTCGGGTTTTGCTTCCTGAAAATGCGACAAAAATTAAACCTTCAGAAAAGACATTTCAGTTTTCTCAGTTTGATGTGGACAAACATAAATTGCGATTACAACTTACCAAAGCTTGTTAATTTCAAAAATGTCCACGAATAGGTTAACGAAGAAGAGTAGATGAATGATCGACTGTAAACTTTGTACTCCAGCCGTATTCCGTAAACCGAAGCCATGAATTTCGTGCCCAAATTAATCATCGGTATTCACTTACTCGTTAAGCCGTCTAAAGCGACAATTCAAAACAGCATCAATAAAATAGTTTCCAAAGCCAACTTTAGATAGTATGATGGAAAATCTTGTTTCCTACGCGGTTTTGTTAGGCGCGGTAGGCTAGGGCACAGTTTGTCGATGTTTATAGCAGACCTTTTTGCGATACTGCCCATGTAGACGAACTTAATTCGGACGAAATTCATGACAGTTTTGTTCGAACAACTGAGCCATTGAAGATTCTGCCACTGCTTCATGAATGCCACCAGTTTGAGTTATGCATACAGCACGAAAATTGACTACTTGTACTCAGTAGTTGCCTTTAAAGGGTGACATCTGTTTGTGTTTTGTTGAGAGATTTCCTAGGACTGATGTCTGGGTATGAGCAGCCTTTACGATATTACTAGGTTCTATGACTTTTTGAGTTGGCCCCAGCAAACGTGATGAAACACATATGTCTGACAAAACTTACGGGAGAAATCCGCTAAAACAAATGAAATAAAGTTATTTGTTGTTTGTCAGTGGATTTTGGCAGCGTCAGATAGATTGTCTGTGCTTGCATGGAAATCTTTTTTATCCATGTGGTAGCTCCAGTTTGCAAGAAGCAGTGAGAGAATGAATCCAAATTAGTTTTCCACCTTCACGTATTGGATGCACGACTACGGTCCCTCTAGAGTGTAAACTCAGAAAAATTGGCCTTAATGCCAGAACCACTGCCGATGCCATCACTAGACAGGTCGGAATTATTTTGTTTGAAGGGGCATACATTTTCGCAATTAGAGCCACAAATCCGGGCTTCTCGATGGATGACAGTGCGACTGTCGTGAATGCACCGAGTAATTTACCCAAAACTCAGAGCTTCCCAGTAAATTGGAGCNGTCGGAATTATTTTGTTTGAAGGGGCATACATTTTCGCAGTAAGAGCCACAAATTCGGGCTTCTCGATGGATGACACTGCGACTGACGTGAATGTACCGAGTAATTTACCCGAAACTCAGAGCTTCCCAGTAAATTGGAGCCGCGAGCATTTAGATCTGTTGGAGGACCCCTTTTATTAGATGTAGGTGCACCAACGAGTCACGCGACTCTCGTTCATTCAGTGTCGCATCTGCTCTTGGTGCTGTTCTGTGTTTTTCGAACATTCCGCTAAATGGAAATTCATTACGAATGAAATCCGAAAAAATAAAATTCCGAACCAAATGGTTTCGAAAATGGAACAGTTGCCAATGGGTGTGCGACAAGTTGGAAAAACTGAACGGTTTTTTCAGTGGTCTCACAGGCAGGCAAATGTTTACTTTCTATGTACTAGTGTAGAAAAGAATCCCCTGGTGAGTGGCTTTGTAGACAGACTTCATCTGAAAAAACAACTGAAGATTTTTCAGTGCGGCCTCTACTTTAGTAAAATTTCAAAGAAATGTATGCAATGCCAGGAAGGGCTTTAACAAGCATCCCACAGTGCATAGTGCTTGCGTTCACCTGAAAATAGACATAAAATGAATGACTGCGTACTTCATGCTTTGGAGAAGAAATATATATCTTCAGACTTCAGCCTGAATTTGTTCGGGCACGACAAATGTGCCTTTCTTAAAAAAAGTNTAGCGGTTGCTGAAGCAAACTTTGGTGCAAACCAAGATATTACTAAGGTTTAGCAAATTACAAAGATATTTTGTCGCACATAACGAAGTTCAGTGAAAAACTATTGAATCGAAAAGCAACACGCCCACTTCAAGTTGTCGGTCATTTTCGAAATGATTTTAGTGCTTCTGGTTACATGTGCTACTTAGTTTGCCTAAAATAATGGCAATGGGGGCGTTTGTAAACACTCATTTTCCTAAGACAGCAAACCGTTCTGTTTTTTATTCAAAAGGGAAACTGAAAAGATCGTCTGACCATGATCCATCACGGTAAAGCGTCCCTAAGTATACACTAGAAATGCTGTAACATGTCCTTACTAAAGATCCAACTTTTACCGAATTCCATATAAAAATTTGTGATTTCAGACTTGAACTCTTCAGCCCCTTCCTATTTCTATCCTGATGAACTAGTTTTTTCTTCAGTGACCGCTTAACCTGATTTCCACCTGGTTTATCGCTCAAACTTGTTGAGGGGAGCATAGGCTTCCTTCTATGGACTAGGTTCTGCTGAATGGCAAACGATAGTTTCGTCCGACCAAAGGCATGGTGACGTGCGTTTTCATGTTAGCTTGTTACTCTGCTTGACAAGGGACACGCTTCCTTACTCTTTAAAAATTGCCGGTTTCGTTCTTTAATTACCCAACCGTAGTCTGTTTGATTTTACTTACAGCCCAAGTTCTTACTTGTAGAATAGGCAGGTAACCGGGAGGCCCGACCTATCTACCAAGCGGCCAAAACATTTTACTGACACGGAAAATTCGGGGGAACTAATAAAAAAGAGCCCGTAACGTAACCACAAACATACGACATTTTCATTTGACTGAGTCGCTTTATGCATTTTGAGCAGTCGATAATTATAATGGACGCATGTAATTGTGGTGAAAGATGGTGAAACACGTTTGAACAAGGGATGCTTTGAGAACGAAAACGAGAACTCAGCGAACTGAAGGTGTTTTCTTAGTTTTATTGATTCATCAATGCAAATACTATTCAGCGCATTTTCGCTCCACTCATGATAACTCAAGTGTCGACATTTGGTTTTTCGTAAGTGTTGTTGTTCCGTTAGTTACTACACTGAGCTGGGCAATTTGATTGCAAACGCTTCATCACCAATCGAGATGACGTCAACAGTATGTTATGGGGAAGCGTACTGGTGCGTAGGGTTGGGTTAGTGGTTGCGCCAGAGCAGGACAAAATGTTTGGCTGAAAGCAGTCCACAACACTTGGCAAAACGCGAACTAGCAATAGGGCGCCTAGTTGACAATTTTAAAATCAAACGCAGAACAGCCATGGAGAAAAAAATTCACAGGCTTACGAGGAACAACCAACACAACAATTACGGCGCTGGGATCAGGAACGTATCTGGCCGCCAACTCAACACAGCTGAACAAGAACCGCTAATGAAAGGCTCAACTTAAACGTCGAGGACGCATCTTACAGATGTCCCAGCCAGCTCCCAACATGCCCTGAAAACAAACGAAAGGTCCGAGGAGATTCAACAACAGATCCGACAGACAATCGTTCCAGCGACCACACGGAATAGAAAAATGCAACTGATTTCGAAACAAGAACGAGAGGCACTCACAAATGTACGAAAGAATGAAACAATCGCAATACTACCGGCGGACAAAGGACGCATCACGGTGATAATGGACAAGCCGGATTACATCAAAAAGGCCAGACAACTGCTAAATAACATTACGACATACAAAACAATCGATCATGATCTGACTTCAAACATCGTCAATCGAATCAGAACGACGCTCAAGAACGCTCAAGAGACTGCAAGCAACACACGAGACAACCGGACAGGAACGATGGAAAGTGAAAGCCGTTGACACCAAGTTTGCACAATTCTACGGACTACCAAAGGTACATAAAGAAGGAACTTCACTTGGACCCATTGGTACACTTACGGGAACCCTATCGTAAAAACTAGCAAAATACATATTGGGTAGATTGAAACATTTAACTTCTGGATCGGAACACATAATCACAAATGCAGGTTAATTCCTACGCAATTTACGAAACATCAGTATAGAAGACGATGAGTCATGCTTTCATCTGATGTCACATTGCTGTTCACTTCAATCAACCACAACCTCGCCAAGACAATCAAGGTAGAACTGCTTCAGAATAAGCCCAGCACAGCAGAAAACATGAAACCTGAAAGCGTATGCAAACTGCTGGACTTTGCATCGATACACACTCCACCTTCGATGGACAAATATGTGAACAGCTGAAATGAACCCCAATGGGATCCCCAATATCTGGATTTATTGCTGAGGCTGTAATCCAAATGCTAGAGCATGTGGTACTGCCGATCATAGACGAAAATGCTGTGGATCCGCTACGTGGACGACACATTTGTCATCATGAAACGGGATTCAGTACACGATGCACATGAACTGCTAAACACCACTTTTGGAGATATCAAGTCTACAATTGAACTGGAAAGAAACAGTCGACTACCGTTCGTAGACGTTTTGGTAAACATAAAGATGGATGGGATTCTGGAAACCAGGTTATACCGGAAGGAGACTCATACGGATCAAATACTAAATTACAACAACAATCATTTAATAAACCATAAGAAGAGCTGCGCCCAAACATTGTTCAAGAGGGAGGAGACACACTGCAGCACCACAGAACTGCGGAAGAAGGAAGGAATCCATTTATTCAGAGTGTTCCAGAACAATGGATCTCCAAGGCACTCTGTCAAGAGAAGTTCGAAGAAGACATCTCAACCGCAGCAACAGCAAGAACGAGCCAACAGACGGGTAGTCTTGCCTTACATCAAGAATATATCAAAACTCGCAACCAGATTATTGGCTCAAAAAAGGAAACTTCATGGGCCACAAATCGAATGCCACCCTAAGAAAATTAATCTCTAGACCGAAGGACAAGCGATAGAGTACCGAGAAGAACAATGTGATATACCGACTCAACTGCAACAACTGCAACATATTCTACGTCGGGAAAAACTGGGAGGTGACTATGCACACGGATGAAAGAACACAACGCGGCCGTCAGGAGACATGACCCTCTGTCCTTGATATCCATACTCGAGGACCGAGAAGGTGACGTGCATCTCAACCAGAACACTCAAGGAGGACCGAATATTGGATTCACGCACAAAGAAGCAAGGAAATCCCTGGAGGCAAATCAATAAAGGTCACAAGCCATGACTCGAAAGAGCAAAGGTCACTCCAGCATTGACCAGATTACGACGGCAGGGGATGCCAAGCTCTAAGATCACTTGGGCATCGGCGAATGGGGACACAGGACAATGAAACAACCAATGGAAGGCACAACCTCTAACCCAGAGTTACGCACCACTACGCTCCCCAATAACGCGCTGATGACGTCACATCGATTAGTAATGAAACGTTTGCAATCAAACTGCCCAGCTCGGCGAACAACAGTTTGAATATCCCGGAAAAACAAAGAACGTATTTTGATTAAGGGCCATGGTTTCTACCGAGTATAACTAAAATGTGACGTCTCTGTTGGGTAAACATTTTGGCATGTAATAGTTAAGTTTCCCCTTATGCAGAAAAGCCATATTTTCTACAAAAAATGTGCCTTTGTACGCGGTTCGGAAACATGGCTTACCTACTTCGTATGCTAACAATTCGGTGAAACCAGGGATTATTTATTATTGTCGCGTTTATTATAAATTTAAATGATAAAGTTTCACGCGCAGACAAAATATAAATTCGTCTTCGTTCAGGTGAAAAACCTCGCGACTGCGAAGAAAGAGCTGGACTGGTAGAAAACCCAGTCTGAAAAGCAGTGGGTAAAATTAGACTGTGAATTAATTTTCGAGAATGTCCAGTTAGGACTATCTACGATAACGGAGCTATCTGCAGCTGAGTGCTGTCTACATTCAAATTTCCAAAGTTGGTCAAATATCAAACCGAAACTTAGAGATCAAAGGCTCCTTTCACAACTATCTGGTTGCATTGCTAAATCCAAGGGTTTGCGCCCACAATCCTATGTGATCAGCGAAATTTTTCCATTTTCCTATCTTGAATAGGCAATGTACTTTGCAACAGGTTTTCATGGTTTCACTACGTGGTCAAAATTACAACTGCAACAACAAAATAGTCAAACATTTTTGCAGGAACGATTGGGTTGAATTTAAAAGTGCATCACATATTCAATAATATTTTCAACGACTCTAGTTAAAAGACCACTTCTGGGATGACGATTTTTTTCGAAGTTCTAATGTATATGACGTAATACACTCATGTAATTTGGAATTTTCAAGAGCACATTCTGCAAACGGATTCGTCGATATCGAAGCGCTTGAACTGGGGAAGAACAATAGCGTTATACTAACGTTGATCAACCTCAATTTAAGTTAATACCATGTTTTGTTTTGAAGTAAAGCTTAAGGTCAAATAGAAGGTCAAACAGTTTAGCAGAACCCCCATTTTACAGCTTCCGCTCAAAGCAGAACGACATCACTTTTTAGGATTTTCATGCGTAAGTCTCCACTCTTCTGGTGATTAAAATGAATGATCAAAAAAGGTGATCAAAGAAGGGCGAGTTCGCTCGTAAACAATGTTTTTGCTTATCTAAACAATAAATATACCAATTTAGGCCGGGAACATGTGGAAATTCGAAATAGGAACTTACGTTGCTTCAAATCTGAGTTCCAGAATTACGGTGGAATGATAAGGCATTGCTCAGGTAATCGAAGTTTCGCTTATAGTCAGGAGTTGATGAATATGGTCGGTGTATTCAGTCCATATTTACCGCTAATGATCGTGCTCGCTTAATCTTCATGTAACACATTGCAAGCTTTCATATCAAATGGCTTCGTATTGTTCAACTGATCTGGAACCCAACTGAATTTCTCGTTTGTGATGCTTCCAAGCAACTGAATGTGCTGCACCAGGCCGCCTCGTGTTTCAGCCGCTAAGATATTCGAGCTATCGCTATATATACATATATATATAATGCGTTCTCAGAAGGTTGCTGAAAATTTGCTACAGACCACGACGTGTTTTGCTCTTCTTAGCTCTCGACAGGTAGGCGCGGTCCTCGAGTTTCTGCCAATCTTATGTTCCACTTGGAATCGAATTGCAGGAAATTAGTAAAATATACTCATTTGTAAATTAATTTGGTTATTCTGAGAGACTCCCCTGAAAGGCAGCTGCATCTCTCGTTTGTAGTGAACACTTTTTGCATGTCTGGTATTGTTTAATTAAAATGACCTAAAAATTTACCTAACACATTGCAGACATTCTACAAAACAGGAACTTCACCAATTACTCCGACTTTAGGACACACGAAACAGTTAGCATTAGAAAAAACATTGGAAAATATAATGACGTTCATTCCACCAGCACGAAATGAGCTGATTAGTAATTTTATTATAATTTTGTTACTTACTTGAGCGAATATCTTGATGTAGAAAATTCCGAACAGCCGAGTAGTTTATCCTCTTTTCAGCCATCGCATAACGAACAATGGTAACTGCGTTGTCATCTGAAGAGCTTATTTTGTTCCAAAATTGTTAACTGGTCGCATCTGAGTCGTCTCAGTTTACACCTTTATCGTTTAGTGGAAGCTGTGCCACAGCAAGAAAAGCATGTGATGAACAAGATCCTTTGCTTTGAAGCCTGGAAGCCCAACAATCGGCCATTCGGTAAGACGACTGCACTGTCCTCAAAAGCTACACTCTACATGGGAACGCGTGTGTATCGTCCATCAGTCTTGCCCTCCACTTATGTTTAAATGCCATTTTTTCTCGGACCTTCTTTGACCCGTTACACTCATCTATAATCATATGTCCGGATAAACGCAATCATTCCTTCCACAATCGGCTGACGTTTTTTAACTGACAAGGAAACCCAGCAGCTGCATTTCGAAGGCAAAACACCCCAATCCTCAATAAATATTGATTTTCTAACTAGCAATTTCCATCTAACTTGTTTGGATTAGCGACCCTTGAAGACGGTCTTACAATCCACACAGACAGTGGGCTCTACAAAATTTAACCAGTTAAAGCAAGTGACGAGAACCTCCATGAATTTTTGAAAGCTAAACAACACATTCGATTTGCTCCCATAATTCAAACAATGGTCTTCAGAACAGATTACCGATATCTGGATGGCTAAAGCATTGATCGAAAATAGACCGAGACTTTGTAATCTAGTTCATAATATGCATGCATGAAATCGACAAAAATATCTAGCCCGTTGTCATCCAATTTGAGCTTTAGAAGCCTCCTGCAAAATGTCTCATGATTTAAAACCTTACTCTCCAAAAACTACGGGATTAGTTAACAAATGGAAAGTGGACAAAATGCAATCACTTTGAGAATTGGCAATAAGTTTCCCTGGGAATTTCATTTTATTATGGTTGTATGACGGTTTAAAAACGTACCCCCAAGCTCTGTTGAGTGAATGCGGATGGCGAATATTCATAAGCAACTGTTTTGTGCAAGAGTTGCTTACAAAAACAACGACTAAACGAATCGTCACATAACCCTGTTAAAATTCGCTCATAAAAACACATGCAATTTGGTGCGCCTTCATGACATTCGAAGTTACTGGGCTATCTGTTTAGTGTAGGTGCGTAAATTGTACTACTTGGATTGCAAACTAACTAACAGTGACGTGCTATTCTCTAACTTTTGACAACGCTTGAATATCAGCGGTTCCCAGCAATTTATTGATCGGTGTGCAGCTTACGGCAGCCACGCTGTTCTATCGATCAGGATCATGATGACGATGAGCCGTCTACAACCACGTAGCATCAGTCACTTCAGATATCCGCAAAATTATCTGAACATGTGTGTAGACGTTTTAATCTAAATTACGTTGAATGAATTTCAAACTCCGTTTGTGAACTTGAACACTGCGCATAAGGTTTGGCATAATCGTGTCGTGGCTGTCAATGTTCGAATCCTCCTCACATGTGGCCGAATGCGACAGGCGAAATTCAACGGTAACGTGAAGATACTTCGGTTGCGCGCAAAAATTCTGTTTCCGGAACGAAAAATACGCTTGTGAAATGGGAATTATTTCATCTATTTCCGTTGTCTTGCTTCATCCACGAGTAAACTAAGGTTACTCCGTATTTCATTCAACAAAAGGTATTGAGTCTGATTCTGATCAAGCAAAACCCG